CATATTAGTTTAAAAATCAATGGGAAAAAAATCCTCTGGTGAGGACTAACAAAAAAAATCCCACAAAACTATAAGTTTATAATATTTATAGTATTTATATCCATGCCTTGCACAAGATAAAAATTATAGCATACTTTTTTTCTCTATCCTTTCCTTTTCTCCTCTCAGCTTGATAAACTAATATGTGAAATTTTCATTTGATATTAAGTATTTTTACTTGTGTTTAACTTCTTTTTCTAATTTGTTTATTGCATTCTGTTTTCTCCAAATTTATCTTTTATACTCTAGAATAGATCCTTTAGTCATTAAGTCAAATTTCACACGTGATAATCATTCATGTGCTCTAAAGAAAAATCCTTAATGTTTTGAGATTTAGGGGTGAATTTTGAAAACATACCCTTTGGACCCTTTAACTCTTCAGACTCATATTTTTGGTTTGGGGAAAATCTTAGCTGTTCTTGCTTCAATATTACCTTCTCTCCATTCTCTTAATGCTTTCAGGAATTCCTTTTCAAACGTTGAAACTTCTGGATCTCTTTTCCAAGTCTCCTACATTTTTTTTTCCTTTTTTCTAATTTATTGTGGCAAAATTGATTAATATATAGGTTTCAGGTGTATATTTCTATAATACATGATCTGTATATTACAGTGTGTGCCCACCACCCAAAGTCAGATCATCTTCTGTCACCATATATTTGGCCCCCTTTACCCTTCACTATGCCCCCACCCCTTTCCCTCTGGTAACCACCATACTGTTGTCTATGTCTGAGTTTCAGTTTTATATTCCACATATGAGTGAAATCATATGGTTCTTGGCTTTTTCTGACTGACTTATTTTGCTTAGCTTAATATTCTCAAGGCCCATTCACGTTGTCCCAAATGGCAGTATTGCATCTTTTCTTAATGGCTGAGTAGTATTCCATTGTGTGTGTATATATATCTCATCTTCTTTATCCTATCATCTGTTGAAGAATACTCAGTTGTTTCCATGTCTTAGCCACCGAGAATAATGCTGCAATGAACGTAACAGTGCATATATCTTTGTGAATAAATGTTTTCGAGCTTTTTCAGGTTGGTACCCAGCAGAGGGATTCTGGGTCATATGGTAGCTCTATTAATATTTTGAGGAACTGCCACACTGTTTTCCATAGTGGCTGTGCCAGTGTACATTCCCACCAGCAGTGAATGCGGGTTCCCTTTTCTCCACAACCTCTTCAACACTTGTTATTATCTGTCTTGTTGATAATAGCCATTCTCACAGATGTGAGGTAGTGTCTCATTGTAGTTTTGATTTGTATTTCCCTAATAGCTTGTGAAGTTGAACATCTTTTCATACATCTGTTGGCCATTTGTATGTCGTCTTGGGAGAAATGTCTGTTCAGGTCCTCTTCGCATTTTTAATTCGATTGGTGTTGAGTTGTATAAATTCTTTATATTTTTTGTATATTAACCCCTTGTCAGAGCTGTTGTTTGCAAATACCATGTCCCATTTGGTTAGTTGCCTTTTTGTTTTGTTGTCAGTTTCTTTTGCTGTGCATCTTTTTTTTTTTAATATAATTTTATTGATTTTGGAGGGAGAGGGAGAGAGAGAGAAAAACATCAATGAATGATGAGAGTCATTGATTGGCTGCCTCCTGCATTCCCCCTGCTGGGGATCGAGCCCACCACCCAGGCATGTGTCCTGACAGGGAATTGAACCTTGATCTCCTGGATCATAGGTCCATGCTCAACTGTTGAGTCACACTGGCCAGGCTGCTGTGCATCTTTTTAGTTTGCTATGGGCCCATTCATTTATTTTTGCCTTAAGTTTGGACAGGTTTAATACAATGTGCCTTAGGAAAGGCCATTTTGGAATGTGGTAATTAGATGTGCTCTTTGCTTCTTGGGTTTGAGGATCTAGCTCTTTCCATAGGTTTTGGAAGTTCTCCTGAAGTATTTGTTTGAACATGCTCTCTGTTTTCTTCTCCCTCTCTTCTTCTGGTATGCCTATTATGCTTATATTGCTTCTTTTTTGTGTGTTAATCCTCACCCAAGGATATTTTTTCCATTGATTTTTAGAGAATGGAAGGAAGGGAGGGATGGACGGAGGAGAGGGAGAGAGAGAAACATTGATGTGAGAGTGACATATTGATTGGTTGCCTCCCGCACGTGCCCCAACCCAGGCCAGGGATTGAACCTTCAACCCAGGTACATGTCCTAGACCAGGAATTGAACCTGCGACCCTTTGGTGTGTAGGCCAATGCCCTAAGCACTGAGTCACACCAACTTGGGCCTTATATTGCTCTTCCTGATGGCGTCAGATAGTTCTTGTGGGCCTTATATTGCTGTTTCTGATGGTGTCAGATAGTTCTTGTAGCGTTCTATATATTTTTTATGCTCAAGTCTCTTCTTCCCTCTGCATCATTTCTAGATTTCTATTTTTGATACCACTACTTTCCAGTTCATTCTTGATCTCTTTTATTGAGTTCCTCATCTCCAGAATTTTTATTTGATTCTTTTTTAAAGTTTTAGTCTCTTTGGTAAAGTACTCGTTTTGT